CTCCCGTGTGAAAGAGCCGGGCAACTGGCGAAACGGGATCATCATGAGCACACAAAGACAAAGATCCCCCGTATAGCCTTAACAGACTGTAGGGGCAAGTGCTGTAAGCGAGCACCTATGAAGGCCGGAACGGTACATGAGGGGGTGGGTGGCCAGCACCACGCCCGACCGCCTTTGTTTCCCCAGTGGCGATGTTTACACACCGCACCAGGTACTCATTTGAGGCTGAGTCGACCTAGGGGAGTCCCAGGAACGGTTCAGATAATCGTCACCGGTGTTGGCCGTGAGCGGGAATCGTACCTGGGTGGCCGGGTTCATAGCGCAGCGCGCTAACCACTACACCACCGCATATGAACAACAACAACCCCCATTCGCCACTAAGTGGCTGTGACGTCACCACGACGCTTGTGCCAGGTCATGTGCACCTTGAGGCCACGTGAAGTGTCGAACGCCCGCTGGCAGGAGGTCACGGGGCAGACCCAAGTGCCACGGGTCGACTGACTGAGATGACTGAGATGAGTGGCTGATGCACCACCTGTGCCCCCTACTGTGCCAACCTGCTGTGCTTTAGCCAACCCGGCGCTCCGCTCGTTGTTGTGAGCGTCGCTCCTCCACCCTCCGTTGTTGTTGGAGGGCGACTGCCTCCAACTGCCCAGTAGCATCCTTCATGAGCCTCCTCCACAGAGGCCGATCTTGACACCGCTGGTACCAGTCATCGGCAAGTCCACTCAGCTCCACGTCCTCCTGTACCACATCACTCCATCTCTTCTCTAGCCCGTGCCACGCCTGTTTAGCCCCCTAGATCCGGCCGAACAAAAGCTGTTTCGGCATGCGGTGGCTGGGCATGCGGGCTACATGACCCAGCCACCGGCTCATGCCTCCCGTAAATCACGTGACTTGTGCGTGGCCACTACCCCCTACAATTTCAGCCCCACCCTCTCCCCGCCCACTGTGAAAACAGACCCCGCTCTGCGCAGCAGCAGCATCGAGGCCCTCCCTGATGCAGCCTCTCCCCCTTGCTCCCTCTCATCTCACCTCACCCCCTTTGCTCCCGAATTTCCTTTCCTTTGCCATCCTTTTTTTTCCCTCCACGCTTTCTCATGACACTCTTTCCCACCGCCTATCTTCCCTCTCCCATTCTCCTGGCTCTTTACCCATCGCAGTAAGAACCCTCGGCTCGACTCCCAGCACCGGTGGTGTAGCCACGGGTACAGAGCCATTGCTGGTCAAAATGTGAACCTGCCGCGCGTGTAAGACACGCAGCCGCGTTAAGTTGCTGTACGTACAGACATCCTAGCACCCCAATCCAGCCAAGGTTGTACGTGAACACACGTACAAAGACAAAGATCCCCCGTATAGCCTTAACAGACTGTTGGTGCAAAGACAAAGATCCCCCGTATAGCCTGAACAGACTGTTGGTGCAAAGACAAAGATCCCCCGTATAGCCTTAACGGAGTGTTGGGGCAAGTGCTGTTAGCGAGTAGCACCCGCGAAGGCCGGCACGGCGCACGAGGGGGCGGTGGGTGGCCAGCAACCACGCCCGGCCGCCTTTGTCTCTCCAGTACACGTGAAAACGGCGCATTGCTTCACGGTGTCCACGCATCCGTTTCGACACTTGCCACGTAACGCGATCAGTTGTGTGTATACACACCTTGCACGTACACACAGTGCACGTATACACACATTGCACGTATACACACAGTGCACGTATACACACATTGCACGTATACACACATTGCCCGTATACACACCTTGCACGTATACACACAGTGCACGTATACACACAGTGCACGTACACACACCTTGCACGTATACACAGTGCACGTATACACATTGCACGTATACAGTGCACGTATACACACCTTGCACGTATACACAGTGCACGTATACACATTGCACGTATACAGTGCACGTATACACACCTTGCACGTATACACACATTGCACGTATATACAGTGCACGTACACACACCTTGCACGTATATACAGCGCACGTATACACAGTGCACGTATACACACATTGCACGATGCACTCGTTGATTTATCATTGTTATCATAGATGTACACCGTACGGTCTTCCTCGTAAGCACAACAATCCACGCACACACATCATCGTCTGAAGACGTTTAGCCAGCCACACGGACACATTCAGGCGCATTGTCTAACCACGCTCTGTTGACGCATCCGTGCACGTCGCCAATGGTGAAGTATGGTCAAACGTAACAACGAAGACCCGACACGGCAGGGCGAAGGCCATTATCCCAGCAGTTTGTGTTCTTGATAACAACACAAACTGTTTGTGTTGTTGATAACAACACATTTTGTGTTCTTGATAACAACACAAACAGTTGTTGACAACAACACAAACTGTAACGGGGAGTTCCGCGTGAACCCTCAAGGGACTCCGGTCGACTCAACCTCAAATGTGTACCTGGTGCGGTGTCTAAAACCATCGCCACTCGGGGAGACAAAGGCGGCCGGGCCGTGGCCTTCGTGGGTGTTTCTCGCTAACAGCACTCGTCCCAAAAACTCCGTTGAGGCTACACGGTGGGGGTCTTTGTCCCATGAGATTATGCACGCAGCCGTAAATACCCACAGCGTATAACTGCTGGGCAGACTTGGCTACATGTGGCACATTGTCTGTCAGTGTTAATGATCATTGTGATGGTGGTGGCGGTGATGATAATGATGTGTTTGGATTACGTTGTAAACTGCCGTCAACACAGTCACTCTCAAAGTTTTATGTGACTAAGACAAAGACAAAGATCCCCCGTATAGCCTGAGCATAATATTGGGGCAAGTGCTGTTAGCGAGCAGCAGCTATGAAGGCCGGAACGGCACACGAGGGGGTGGGTTGCCAGGACCGCGCCCGGCCGCCTTTGTCTCCCTAGTGGCGATGTTTACACACCGCACCAGGTACTTATTTGAGGCTGAGTCGACCTAGGTGTTGCCCAGGACTCGTTCAGATAATCGTCACTTGGTGTCGGTGGCCGTGAGCGGGAATCGAACTCGCCTCGCCGCACACAACGAACGCACACCAACACACACGTTCACGTACAGACACACGTACACTGTTACTCTCACAGCCACACACTCGCACGTACACATACTGACACACACACAAACACTTGTACAATCGGACACAAGCACCGGCAGAGACACAAGCAAACACACACACACGATCAGACGTCCACACGTTCACACAAGCAAGTACACTGGACACTAACGCATATATTCTCTATCACACGCACATACACACACACGCAGACACATGACGCACACACACACAAACGCACCGACACACACGCAATGACACACGCAAACGCAGTGACACACAACAACAACCGCCATTCGCCACTAAGTGGCGGTGACGTCACCACGACGCTTGTGCCAGGCCATGTGCACCTTGAGGCCACGTGAAGTGTCGAACGCCCGCTGGCAGGTCACGGGGCAGACCCAGGTGCCACGGGTCGACTGACTGAGATGACTGGCTGATGCACCACCTGTGCTCCCTACTGTGCCAACCTGCTGTGCTTTAGCCACCCGGTGCTCCGCTCGTTGTTGTGAGCGTCGCTCCTCCGCCCTCCGTTGTTGTTGGAGGGCGATTGTCTCCAACTGCCCAGAAGCGTCCTTCACGAGCCTCCTCCACAGAGGCCGATCTTGACACCGCTGGTACCAGTCATCGGCAAGTCCACTCAGCTCCACGTCCTCCTGTATCACATCACTCCATCTCTTCTCTAGCCCGTGCCGCGCCCGTTTAGCCCCCTCGATCCGGCCGAACAAAAGCTGTTTCGGCATGCGGTGGCTGGGCATGCGGGCTACATGACCCAGCCAACGCAGCCTTGCCTGCCGGAGGAGCTCACTGATGGGACCTTGCCCAGATCTTTCAAGGATTTGTGAGCTCCTCACACAATCCAGCCTGGTTAAACCCAGGATGGATCGTAGGAAGGCCAGCCTAAATGTTTCTAACCGGCGAAGATGTTCCATTAAGGGGGTCCACGTTTCGCAAGCGTAGAGAAGGGAGGGAATGACCGTGGCCGAGAACACCTGAAGCTTAGTGCGGAGCGACAGACCAGGTAGCTTCCACACAGCGTTACGCAACCGATTAAAAGATATTGCCGCTCGACTGATTCGGAGTGAGACCTCTGCTGTTAAACTGGAGCCGGTCATAAGCACACTGCCCAGGTATGGGAAACTCTCCACTCCCTCCACAACTGCCCCATCACCGATTGGGAGTTGTGGGGGTACAAAATACCCAGGCAGGTGCTTAGTTTTGGTGGGGCTGATGGTAAGGCCCCATCTCTTAGTGGCACGCTCCAGTCTCAGCAGCAGCGTCTCCAACTCCTCCTCTGAATGAGCAGCTATTACCAAATCATCAGCATACATAACGTGGTTGAGCAATAGGGAGGCATCCCTTGACCGCACCCGGGCATCGATCAGCCTCCCATTTTATCTGTACCGAATGAAGATTCCCCCGGTACAGCTATTGAAGGCTTCACGAACTACGTGGTCAAAATATATGTTAAATAATGTGGGAGCCAGAGGACATCCCTGTCGCACCCCAAGGTGTACAGGGAATGGCTCTGACTCCCGGCCACGTAGTTTTACCCGGCCCCGCTCACCATCATGAAGGTCCTTAATGATCGTGAGCAGGGGGTCAGGGACTCCAAAAGCACGAAGAACGACCCGGAGCCTAGGCCTACTGATGGTATCATAGGCCTTGACCTGGTCAATAAAGCAGAGATGTAGGTCTTGTTGGAATTCCCTACACCTCTGCTGTAGCAGTGACACCCACCCACTGACACACACACAGTGACACTTACAAATGCACTTACACCCACACATACTAAAACACACATGCACAAAAATGCACCAACACACAAATGCAATGACACATACAGACGCACTGATACACACAAATGCAATGACACACACAGACGCACTGACACACACAAATGCAATGACACACACACAGACGCACTGATACACACACACACGTACCTGCAATTGCAAGCAACAGCAGCAGCAGCTCCTCGCCAGACAGATGCATCTCTCTGTCCATCGCCTCTCGCAAAAAAAAATAAAGAAATCCACGGTTCGATCCCGGGCACCGGGTCACACCACCTGCGTCTCCTCCTCCTTGAACTTCCTCCGCCTCCGCCGCTTCACAACCTCCAGCAGCGTCAGCGCGTCGATCCGCTCCGACGTAACAGAAAAAAAATAATCCCCTCCTACAGCCCCGATCTGCTCGCGACCCTCACTACCCTCCACGACCTTCGAATCCTCGCGATTACGCGACAACCCACCGCCGCCACCACCACCACCAATAACGTATCAACTGCAGCGCAATCCCTCTCTCTCCTGCTGCTGCTGCATACGCGTGTCTCTGTACAACATGCTCTGTGTGTATTTGCTGTCACGTATAGGACAGGTCACGTGTGACAAATACGCAAAGGCTACTACGCACGTGCGCTGCTGCGTTCGAGCTGTCACACGGCCCGGCGTAGACGCTGCGTGTGTCGGTGTGTCGGTGCGTGTGTGTGTGTCTCTCGCTGTGTGTGTGTGTCTCTCGCTGTGTGTGTGTCTCTCTCCCTGTACGTGTATCTCTCCCGCTGTGCGTGTGTGTGTCTCTCTCCCTGTGCGTGTGTCTCTCTCGCTGTGCGTGTGTGTGTCTCTCGCTGTGCGTGTGTGTGTCTCTCGCTGAGCGTGTGTCTCGCTGTGCGTATGTGTCTCTCGCTGTGCGTGTGTGATGTCGTCCCGGGTACCCTCTGCGCTCTCTCTCTCTATCTCTCGTGTTACTGTGTGCGTGTGTGTGTTTGATTGCCTGCCGCTCTGCTGCGGCCGTCTAGCGAATTGAACTCGGAGGCAGCGGTGATGCTGATGAGAGGGAGAGAGGGGGAGAGAGAGAGCTGAGGAGGAGGGCGTGGAGAGGGAGGGAGGTGATGGGGGAGGGGAGGATGGATGTGTGTGTGTGCGGTGGTTGTGTGCGGTGTGTAAACATGGCCACTAGGGGAGACAAAGGCGGCCGGGCGTGGTGTTGGCCACCCCTCCCCCTTCGTGTGCCGTGCCGGCCTTTATAGGTGCTCGCTAACAGCACTTGTCCCTACAGTCTGTTAAGGCTATACGGGGGGTCTTTGGCCTTTGGTGGTTGTGTGCGGTGTGTAAACACGGCCACTAGGGGAGACAAAGGCGGCCGGGCGTGGTTGCTGGCCACCCCACCCCCTTCGTGTGCCGCTCTGGACTTCATAGGTGCTGCTCGCTACCAGCACTTTCCCCAAAGTATGTTGAGGCTATACGGGTGATCTTTGTCTTTGCGGTGGATGTGTGCAGTTGTGTAATCATCGCCACTGGGGAGACAAAGGCGGCCGGGCGTGGTGCTGGCCACCCTACTGCCTCCTGTGGCCTTGCGGACTTCATAGGTGCTACTCGCTAATAGCACTTGCCCCAAAACGTCTGTTTAGGCTAAAAGGGGGAATTTTCGTCTTGTTGTGCGTGTGTGTGAAGTTGGTTGTGAGTGTGTGTGTGTGCGTCGATGTGAGTGCACGTGTTTGTGGGGAGCGGTGGCGCAGTGGTGAGCGCGCTCGCGCTCCGAACCCGTTTCCACCCAAGTTCGATTCTCGCTCATGGTTCAACGCCAGTGACGCTCATCGAAGGTGCTCGCCGACAGAGCTTGCCTCAACAGTCCACCGCGGCTGTACGGGGCAGCTTTAGCTTTGTGCGCGCGTGCGGTCGCGCGCGTGGAGGAGATACCTGAGAATGACATCTGATACGCGAGCCCTGAGCATTTCCCACGAGGAATCTAGACGCACAATCTGCATGCGCGCGCGCGCGTGCGTGCACCCCATGCGCATATAACGTATAGGGGGGCAGGCCATAAATTACGTCACGCGATTTTGGACGATTTTTGACCTCCCCCTCCCACCTCGTCACACGGCGTCACAAAAAGTCAGACCCCCCCCCCCCCAAAAAAAAATAAAACATACCTTCAAATCGCTTTAAACTATTGTCATTGTAGTGCGTATTTAATGTGGCGCTGCACTCTGATGTTGTAGGAGAAAACATTTATGATAAAGTCTATTTAATGAAGTTTGAACGTATTGTCTATATTTATTTAAAGTTGCGCATTTTGATGTGACGTCACATTTCTCAACCCCCCCCCCCCTCTCCCTCGTCACACATCGTCACAAATGTCTGACCCCCCCCCCCTCCCCCCCAGGTGCGTGACGCCATTTATGGACGGCCCCTTAGTGTACGTACGTTGAACTTTTTCCGCACCGTACGTTGTCCAAACCGTGCCAACAATTCATAATGAAGGGTTTTTTTAGTGGGGGGGGGGGGGGGGGGGGGGTTGGATCACGTAAGTATAAATATTGTGTCGTGACGCTCCACCACCCGACACAAGCCAGTCAGGTCTGTCGCGTAAACGACGCGCCAATTGGTCGTTACTCTCTTGATCTGAAGCTTTCGTGACTGCACGAATCCATACTCTATGGTTCTACGTGCCTTTTTCTGAATGAACCAAACAGTATGGTAGTTACTACTTCAGCCCAACCGGTGTGTTGGACAGTAAAAAGCGGAACATTTACAATTTGAAAACGACGTCTCGCTGGTCATTACGTCCAGCATCATCGGGCCATTTGTCATAATTCACCGTGAAATTTGTCGCGAAATCCATGCGTGTTAAACGTGCTAACAGTATTAACATTAAGCAGCCCCCCCCCCCCCCCCCACCTCCTCCTCCTTAAACTCCTTCATTTTTACTCTCAAGGCCCTCCTCACCTCTGCTCCCTCGCCCATTCGCCTCTGCTCTTCCCTCCCCGGCACCCCCTCCACTCCATCCCGTCCCTCCCCTGTCGCCCTTTCGCGACCTCCACCCCCACCCCCCCCCCCCCCCCCACATAAAGCGCCCCGCCAATGGGATCCCGTTGTCACCGCTTCGTTTGGGCGACGTCGCAGTAAGAACGTGAACGCCAGATCGGTCGCTGGGGGCCGTGCGCAGGCCGGCCACCTCGTGGTCCCCGGTCGAATGCGTTGCGTCGAGCCCTCCACCACCCCGCCGGGCGCAGACGCAGAGCCTCGGCTGTACGACCGAGCCGCACGCGGTTGTGAGAATTGTTCTTCATCCGTTGAAGAAGAGCTTTATAGATCATCGGATTTCCGCCGGTATGAATGCGCTCTGATTACGCCGCGTGGCTATGCTGGGCGGTGGTGGGGGTGGGGGGGGTGGGGTGGTTACACGAGCGGTGGCGGAGTGGTTAGCGATGGGCGCTGCCCAAGCGATTCCCGCTCGCGGCCTAACAGCGGTGGCGATTATCTGAACCGGTCCTGGGCCTGCTCCCCTTGGCCGATTCAGCCTCGAATGAGTAAGTTAGCCCCGGTGCGGTGTGCAAACATTCCCAGATTGGGGAGACAAAGGCGGCCGGGCGTGGTTGTTGTCCACTCCCCCCCCCCCCCCACCCCCGTGTATGCCCTGCCGGCCTTCATAGAGCGCTACTAGCTATCAGCACTCGCCCGAAAAGTCTGCTCGGGCTATGTGGGGGAGCTTTAGCTTTGTCTTTGTGTCTGCGCTCCGACGCGGCTACAGCGCCCCCTCGCTGCCCCGTCGCTCGCATCGCGTCCCGCGTCTCTTCGCCGAGTTGAAGCTTTGCAAGTTTTCCAGTTTTGAAAAAAAAAAGTACACAAGTCCTATAGTCGTAGTAACAATAATAATACCAACAACAACGTACAAGGACTAACATGTTTAGAGCCATCAGAGACGCTGGGTATAATGTTATAGTGACGTCGGAGACGTTGGAGAGACGTTGAGGAGATATCAGAGACGGGGAGGGAGATAGAGATTTGGGGGAGATATCAGAGACGTGGGGGAGAGATCAGAGACTTGGGGGAGAGATCAGAGGCGTTGATGAGATATCAGAGACGGGGAGGGAGATATCAGATACTTGGGGGAGATATCAGAGACGTGGGGGAGATATCAGAGACGTGGGGGAGAGATCAGAGGCGTTGATGAGATATCAGAGACGGGGAGGGAGATATCAGAGACTTGGGGGAGAGATCAGAGACGGGGGAGGGAGATATCAGAGACGGGGAGGGAGATATCAGAGACGTGGGGAGAGATCGGAGACTTGGGGGAGATATCAGAGACGTGGGGGAGATATCAGAGACGTGGGGGAGAGATCAGAGGCGTTGATGAGATATCAGAGACGGGGAGGGAGATATCAGAGACTTGGGGGAGAGATCAGAGACGGGGGAGGGAGATATCAGAGACGGGGAGGGAGATATCACAGACGTGGGGAGAGATCGGAGACTTGGGGGAGATATCAGAGACGTGGGGGAGATATCAGAGACGTGGGGGAGAGATCAGAGACGGGGAGGGAGATATCAGAGACGTGGGGGAGATATCAGAGACGGGGAGGGAGATATCAGAGACGTGGGGGAGAGATCTGAGACTTGGGGGAGATATCAGAGACGTGGGGGAGATATCAGAGACGTGGGGGAGAGATCAGAAACTTGGGGGAGACGTGGGGGAGACGGGAGCGAGGGGGGGAGTCCGCTGTGCGGGTCGCGACCCCCGCGTTGCCATGGAGACGGAGACGCTAAACAACAGCGGCTCGGATAGCAGCAGCGGTAAGAGCAGCAGAGACACGGGGACACGGATACAGAGACACAGAGACAGAGACATAGAGACAGAGACACGGGGACACGGAGACAGAGACAAAGAGACAGAGACATAGAGACAGCGACACAGAGACAGAGACACAGAGACACAGGCACACGGAGACAGAGACATAGAGACAGAGACAGAGACACGGGGACACGGAGACAGAGACACAGAGACACAGGCACACGGAGACAGAGACATAGAGACAGACACACGGAGATATAGACAGCGACACGGGCACACGGAGACAGAGACACAGAGACAGAGACACAGGCACACAGAGACAGAGACACAGAGACAGAGTCACAGAGACACAGGCACACGGAGACAGAGACACAGGCACACGGAGACAGAGACATAGAGACAGAGACACGGAGACAGAGACACGGGGACACGGAGACAGAGACACGGAGACACAGGCACACGGAGACAGAGACATAGAGACAGCGACACGGGGACACGGAGACAGAGACATAGAGACAGAGACACGGAGACAGAAACATAGAGACAGAGACACGGGGACAGACACACAGAGACATAGAGACAGAGACACAGGCACACCGAGACAGAGACATAGAGACAGAGACACGGAGATAGAGACGGAGACACAGGCACACGGAGACAGAGACACGGAGACACGTAGACAGAGACACAGGCGCACGGAGACATAGAGACAGAGACACATAGACAGAGACACAGGCACACGGAGACAGAGACATAGAGACAGAGACACAGGCACACGGAGACAGAGACACAGGAAGACAGGAAACACAGAGACACAGGCACACGGAGACAGAGACATAGAGACACAGAGACACGGGGGCACAGGGAGACAGAGACAGCAGCAAGGACACGGGGACACGGAGAGACACAGAGACGCAGAGACAGGAGCAACGGTAAGAGCAGCAGAGACACGGGGAGACAAGGAGAGACACGTGTCTCCACGTGTCATCGCGTGCCTCCACGTGTCTCCCCGTGTCTCCGCGTGTCTCCCCATGTCTCCACGTGTCTTCCCGTGCCTCCACGTGTCTCCCCATGTCTCCTCATGTCTCCACGTGTCTCCCCATGTCTCCACGTGTCTTCCCGCGCCTCCACGTGTCTCCCCATGTCTCCTCATGTCTCCACGTGTCTCCCCATGTCTCCACGTGTCTCCCCGTGTCTCCCACGTGTCTCCTCCCCGCGTGCCGCAGGGCGACGATGGCGGCTCCCTTCTCCTCCACTCAGCTGCGCGTGCCGCGTGGCCTGGCGGGCCTCCTTGAGGGCCTCTGTACGGCGGTGTTGCGCGACCAGCCCCAGGACATCCTCCCGTACGCCGCTTCCTACTGCGACGCTCTCATAGCCACCCGCGAAGGTCTGTGGGGGGGGGGGGGGGGGGGGCTGCGGGGATAGGGAGTCGGGGGGGGGGGCAGTTGGAAATTGGTCTGGAGCAGAGGTCGACAACCACAATAAGAAGAGGAGCGATTTTTTTCTGGTTCGAATTCGCTCAAACAAAAACAACGCAACGTTCTTAGAGGCGCAATGCAACGTGTGGTATAATACGAGGCGGTGGTTACAATTTGTTTTTGTTACCTTTGCCTTTGTCGAGACACAAAAAGCGAGCCCGATACAGCGGGGCGGGGGGTGGGGGCTCCGGTGACCGACTATCGCAAAAATGATTGTACTTAGCATTGGCTGCATTTTGGGGCTGAGTCGACCTAGGGGAGGCCCAGGACCGATTCAGATAATCGCGGCTGGGTGTTGGCGGCCGTGAGCGGGAATCGAACTCGGGTCGTCGGATTTTGTAGCGCAGCGTAGCTCTAACCGCTGCGCCACCGCTCCTCACATCCAACTTTCCATCAGCTCCTTCTCGTTGCGGCGTTTCTCACGTGCTCTGACGTGGGAACCGCGTGACTGCCTACGTGTACGCAGACGGTCCTCGACTTACGAACATCCACACTTACGAACACCCGACTTACGAACATCGCCCACTTACGAAGACCCGACTTACGAACACCCGCACTTTACGAACCAGCTTGCATGAATTTTTTTTTTACATTGACTTGAAACGCGAACTCTCACTTGCAAATTGAATCGCGGCACTATTTTGTTCAGCTGAGCAATCCACCGCGAAATGTAAATGAGTCGGCCTCGTGCTGGGAGTTAGTGTTTATGTGTGGCCATTTAAATGCAGTCGATTACCGCGTACCGACTTATGAACCGTTCGATTTACGAACCGTTCGACTTAGAAACCGTTCGACTTACGAACGGATCTCAGGAACTAATTGCGTTCGTTATTCGAGGACTGCCTGTATGGGGAGGGAGGGGGCCAAAAGTATCGCCAATCTGCCCCCTGGCCAATCACGACCCGGCGTTGTTACCCACGCTGCTGTTACGCAATTCCAACACCATCGCCGCTGGGTGGCGCCAACAAGCGCACAAAGCCCCCTTGCCCTACAGCGCAGGGGCTCGGCAATCTGCGGCTCAGGAGCCGCACGCTGGCTCTTCGTCTGGCCACTAGTGGCTCCTTGGCTGCCGCATACCTGCGATGTTTGTGTGCGCGCGTATCGATTCGCGTGTGACGCGCCTCTCGCACTATTTTGGTGAAAGACAAAAAACGTAAAAAAAAACCACATAGCTCTACTTCATCTGCTTCATTGCCAAACGTTAAAGAACCCCTGCCCTGACGTTGCATAACCACAGCTGTTACAACCACGGCGATCTTACCACGCTCCAGCACTCGATCGTTCCCTCCCCACCTCCCCCCACTCCATTGTCACCACCCCCCCCCCACTTCCTCTCCACCCACCATGACGATCTTTACCACACTCCTGAACTAGATCGTTCCCTCCCCACCTTCCCCTGCCTCCTCTATCATCACCTCCCTCTTCCACCCACCATAGAACCTGCAAGTCAAGTGACGCAAGCACCTAGGGGGTGGAGGTTTAAGGGGGGGGGGGGTCTTCCTCTACCCTGGTGTCCCTACGGCAGTGTTCTTCACACCGATGAGACATCATCAGCGTGCGAGGGTCACCACACATTTGAAACCACTCGGGGGGGTGTGATAGCAGTAGCAGCACGACAATGAACCCGACAAGCTGACGTTTGATTCCCGGCCACCAGTGCCGGATGAAGCTAGTGCGGGGCCCGTAGCATATGTTATAAACGGGCCCAAAATAATAATAATAATAATAAAATATTAAAACACAAATTTTGTACTTGCATAGTAAAGTAATTGTATTTTTTTATTTGCTATACAGGCAGATGATACGACAAATCGCTAACCTTAAACACTCAGTCGTTCGCAAAAGTTGAAGGCGGTATAGTACTATAGTGATAGAGCAAGTGCAGAATCACTGAACCGGAATTGATAGCTTGAAAGCATTTACCGCGGGACCCTTGAAAGTGCGGGGCCCGTAGCTACATATGTAGTATAGTAGCTACTACATATGTAGTAGCTACTATACTACAATGTAGTAGCTACTACTACATATGTAGTAGCTACTACATATGTCGCTACTATATATGTAGTAGCTACTATATAAGTACACTACTAGTAGCTAGTAGCTACTACTACTACTTATATAGTAGTAGCTACTATATAAGTAGTATAAGTAGTAGCTACTAGTAGTAGCTACTAGTAGTAGCTACTACATATATACGACATACTACTACATATGTCGCTACTATATATGTAGTAGTAGCTACATGTGTAGCTACTTTTGCTACTAGGAGAATCCGGCCACGGTGAACAAGATTGAGCAAGGAGTGATGTCTACACCACTGCCCACCCTGGCCCGCACACCGATCAGCGTAGCGAAGGTCAAACAACCCGCCACGTCTCACGCGGCCTTCGTCAGAAGTGCCATTTATTTACTATTTAAGAATCTGTAGATATCACATTTGACACTTCCCAGTGTTTGTGAATTTTCCGTGGGTTCTGGCCTGGCTCAGACACTTAACCGAATGGCCTCGTGAATTATTTTTTAATGTTACCATGTAAGAGTCACTGAGCTATGTAGCTCTTTTTTCAAAAGCGACCTGGTCACAAACTGATTGCTCAACGAAGTGGCTTATGGCAAATCTGGCTGTCCGCCGGATGATGCTAGCTGTAATGACTGGCGAAACGTCGTACTCAGATTGTAAATGCTGTTGCTTGGCTCTCCAACGTACAGGTGTGCTGTACTAGTGACGAATTGGCCACGTTCCGTTTACGTGACAAACCTTACTAATTGGCTGTGTCGGGTGGTGGCGGGTTTAATGACACATTTATACATTTACGCTATTCTAACCCCAAAAAAACGATATTATGAAGTGGCTTGTCACGTGGAAATTTATGGCAGCAGCCACTAAACGCGTGATGTTGATTCAAAATGCGAAGGTAGAAACCGGTAGGATCCTGTGAAAAAAAAAAAACACCCGACCATGGCGAGAGAGACATCGCAAACTCCAAATATACAGGCATCAGCGTCTCGATCGAATCCACGATCGCCTGTACACCAGGCGAGATAGTTAACATCTCGACACCGTGGCACCTGCATTACATTTGGTCCGCAACTTCTAATGTCGCGTCTCCTCTGTGATTCGTTTTTGTTTTGCGCAGAGGCCACAAACATGAAACGCGCAATGACATCTGTAAAATAAAATTACATATATATTGTAATGCCTACATTAGCGACTCACGGCGGCCATGCTTGGACTTGTTATATGATGCTAATTTGACCCGTTTGAGATGAATCAACGCTTTAATGTGCGTTTTGACAAATCTCCGCTGGGATCCATGAGGTAAAGGGGCGATCGCCGGAAATTGTGAATTAACTTTTCCACGGATGTCCATCCCCCCACAGACCCCCCCCCCCCACTCTCCCCCCACAGAGCCCCCCCCTCCCAGACTCCCCATTCTCATAGCGGGAGAGCGACGACGACTTAACAATGCGTAGTGACAGCGGAATGAACGGCCAGGTCTATCAGAATCAGAATCTATATTTACCTTGCTGCTGCAGGAGGAATCCGATGAGCTATGAAGCTCGTTGTTTTGTTTTAACAACACAGATGTCCAGTATGGGCGGGTCAGCGAGTTACGAACAACAAACAAATAGGAACATTAGTGGGACTCAGTCGAGGCATCCCTCGAATTACGAAAGTAATGGGTTCTTTAAAAAACACACACATACACTTCACAAAATCTATTAAATACAACTGAAACGACACGAACGGCCAAGTACCGGGCGCCACTTTAATCGAAGGCCCAATGACTATCTGGGTCGGGACTCGGTTCTTCATTGTGTTGCTCGACCCCTTCACTCGAAGGTCCAGTAACTCCCGGTGCTCTCCCCCTTTGATCCTCCTCAAGCGCCCTCTCTCCGACTTTCTCCTTTGGTCAAACATCATCATTCTTCCCTTACGGATCGACCATCTTCTTTCAAATCTCTTTAAAAGGCCTACATTGACGACCGATCCCCGTGGAGCCCTCTTTTGGGTCAATCGGAGAACCTCGTTCATTTTCAAACTCGACGTCGGGGTCATTTTCGGGTCACGACGCAACTAAATCATGGGGGGTGGGTGGGGGGGGGGTGTTTGGGACCGTCATTCCAACTCGACTCCCGACCTAAACAGATACACACCCGTATTCATTGTCACGACGCAAAAGCGATAGTTGAAAGGCGTAAACAATGAAACGATTGAAATGATCGTTCATTGCAAACAACAACAAAAGTCGCCGCAAGACGACTGGGGCGGCGGCGTGGAGGCGTTTCCCCGAGTGCGCTGCAGGGACACGGTGACGATGCCGCGAATGTGATGATGACTTCTCGCATGACGATCGATGGCGCGGCGCGCCTGGCCGTGGTTGAAGTTTGTTCGCATTCACGCGCGGATTCTCGATTTTGGTCGCGGCGAAAAGTGTCCAGGAGCGCGGCCTTTATACACACTACCGATGATGTCTTATCGGCCAAAGTGGACCCCCCCACCCTCTGGACAATGAGTGAAGAACATTGGCGTAGGGGGGGGGGGGGCACGGAGCTAGCGAGCTCTTTTTTCAAGGGCGACTCGTCCGGAAGGGAAGGGGGGCGGAGGGTGGTATTGGAGGGTGATATTGGAGGATGATATTGGAGGGTGATATTGGAGGATGATATTGGAGGGTGATATTGGAGGGTGATATTGGAGGGCGATATTGGAGGGCGATATTGGAGGATGATATTGGAGGGTGATATTGGAGGATGATATTGGAGGGTGATATTGGAGGGCGATATTGGAGGATGATATTGGAGGGCGATATTGGAGGGCGATATTGGAGGATGATATTGGAGGGTGATATTGGAGGATGATATTGGAGGGTGATATTGGAGGATGATATTGGAGGGTGATATTGGAGGG